GCAGTCTCTGCCAAACAGTTACCAAGGAATTATGAGAGAGCGAAGGGTAGGGTCCCAGGGCACGGTGTGTGTGCACGGGAAGGGTCCCCTAAACCGGCTGGAAAGGCCTTTCTGTCAGGAAGTGACATCTCAGCGGTTCACCCAGAGGGGCCAGTGGAGATTAGCCAGGAGAGTCTGGCCGCCCTGCAAGTGCTTAGACTCACATCAACATGAACTGCAGAGTGTAGGGCAGGAGATGGGGCGGAGGGAAGTGGCTGGAATAGAGACACATCCGAGGGGTCAGATGGCCAGAGTTGGTGACAAAATGCTCAGAACACAGGCCAGGCGGGGTGGTTCGCACCTGTAATTCCAGCATTTTGGGAGGCTGAGGTGGGCAGATCATCTGAGGTCAGGAGTTCAAGAGCAGCCTGGCCAAGATGATGAAAACCCATCTCTATCAAAAATACAAAAATTAGCCGGGCATGGTGGTGCAAGCCTGTAATCCCAGCTCCTTGAGAGGTTGAGGTAGGAGAATTCCTTGAACCCAGGAGGTGGAGGTTGCAGTGTACTGAGATTGCACCACTGCACTCCTGCCTGGGCAACAAAGTGAGACCCCCATCTCAAGAAAAACAAAAAGATCTGAACACGAGCAGCAAGGTGGGAGGTGATGCCGTCTGCCAAAAGAGGAAATGCAGGAAGAAGACAGCTTCTGCCGGACACATTGGGTGGGGGTAGGGTGCCCGCCACGCCATCCTATCGGGAAAGTCCAGGTGACACTTGGATATGCAGGTTGGCACTCAGGAGTGAGCCCTGGACCTGGGACAAAGCTCTAAGAGTCACCAGTGCAACCGCTAGTGAACCCTGGGGCTGAGGATTCGGGGAGTATTGGGGATTTGGGTCAACTGACTCCTTCAGTCATTCACCACTTCCCACCTGTTGCGTGCCAGGTGCTGGGCAGAGAGCCACAAGGAAAAGCCCTGTCCTCACGGAGCTGTCACTCTAATGAGACCCAGAGATAAGCAACAAGGAAACACACACATAAATAAAACTTCAGGAAGGGGCAGCGGTGGGAGCTGGTTCGGTCAAGGGTCTGTCACTCTCAGGCTGGGTGGGACTCTGGCTCCACTGTTCCTGGGGCCAGCTTGGCAGCTTTCCCTGTGCTCCAGGAGTGGGGCTGTGTGGCACATAGCTGAAATGCCTGTTGCATTATTCCCAAGGGCTGCCTCCCTTTTTCTGTGAGTTGCTGTATCTTGCAACTGGCAGAATTGACCACATCCTACAAATGTTTCTGGATTCCACTGGACTATGGTCTGAAGTGTGCAGACAGTTAAGGCACCCTGACTCCCCGCAACGGAGTGACTATCAGTAAATGCATCATCGCCATTGACTGGGCCCTTCCTGTAAGCCTCAGACACAGAGTGACTGCCTCTGAGCAATAACCAGACTTCAAAACACAGGGAGCGTGCTCCGAGCTCCGTTCCTGCTTTACAAGTAACTTAGAGCTGGCAGATCACAGCATTTATAAGAAATACCTGGCAGGCGGTGGGTGAAAGTTATCTACGTGGAATGCAGATGTATTTTGATTGACTTTTGGTATTACAGTAAATATCAAACATTCTTTACTCCCACTATTCATCAGTTTAAACTGCCCACTTCCAATTCCCTGGCCAGAAATAAAAACTGTGAAGAATACCACCAATATAGGAAAATGCTTAGGGTAATAAGAATCATAATATTAAGCAAGAAAGGCAGAATAGGAATATATACACATGCTATGATCAAAATTCTATAAAATCTGTACACGTACATGGACAAGGTCCACTCAGATAAAGAGGAACGCTGATGAGAAGAATGGTCTCTTCTTTTTCTCTGGGAAATTAACACAGAAAATAACTGCAGAGAAAGAAACCTAAGCAACATTTTAAAGTGGCTGCCCAGTTGAAAAATTTCACTGGGGAAAAACCGACGTGCAAATTCCACTTTTTGAAAAGAGATTACAGGTTATTTAGAAAACAGCAGTGAGGCCAGGCATGGTGGCTCCTGACTGTAATCCCAGCAGTTTGGAGGCCAAGGCGGGTAGATCACTTGAGGTCAGGAGTCTAGACCTATCTGGCCAACGTGGTGAAATCCCATCTCTCTAAAATACAAAAGTTAGCTGGGTGTGGTGGCAGGCACCTGTAATCCCTGCTATGTGGGAGGCTGAGGCAGGAGAACCTCTTGAACCTGGGAGGTGGATGCTGTAGTGAGGAGAGATTGCGCCACTGTACTCCAGCCTGTGTGACAGCAAGAAAAAGAAAAAAGATGACAGATTATTTTGAAAACAGCTGCTAAAGAGTCTTTGGGTCTCTGGCAAAAATGAAGTGGGTCAGTCTTCTATTGACTGAGTCACCAACTCGACAAAGTTCTCAACTGGAAAACACTCACTTTTGGGATCCTGCTCCCAGAAGTGGTAGCAAGAACTTCCGGAAATAGGCTGGAGCAGAACCTTCCTGAGCCCGAGGAAGCAACAAAAAGTTAAAGAATGAACTCTTTCGCAACACAAATAAGATTTCTCAAAGCCCAGGTCACGCTTTTTCTGTAAATTCTTTATGCCTGCGTCAGTATGGACATGACATAGTCCAGACAGAAAATTCTCAGCCACTACCTTACGCACAAGAAAATGCCAGGGATACCCACCAGGCTGCTGATGCCTCAGGGTCAGTGTGCTCTTGAGGCAGGAGAACAGGGTGTGCAGGCAGAAAACCGAAGGCCAATTCACCCTGACTTCCTTGAAATAAATCGAAAGAAAAACCCCACTTTCCACGCCTAAGTAACAAAAGGACCAGTAGCTACTTCCTTTGCAAACCCCCACCCTTTTCTGCCCTAGAGATGGGAAATTGAAAGTACCTCTGATTGGTTGCTTTCTACAACTAATCAGATGTTGGCATAGGAGGGTAACTTTGTAACTTCAGTCTCTGATTGGCTGCAACCAATCAGACTGACTGCAGAGCCAAGTTTCATTTGCACAGAAGTGCAACTTTGTGACTTAACTTTAGCCTTTGATTGGTTACTTTCCACAACCAATCAAGATGTTTGCTAGCACTGTGACCTTTGTAACTTCCCTTCAGCCTCTGGTTGGTTGCTTTCTACAACCAATCGGACTGATTGGAGGCCACTACTTCATTTACATGGGGTAAACACCAATTGGCCAATGGGAAACCTCTAGGGGGTGACAAGATTCTGTATCTGTGCCCTTGAGCAGGTGCTCAGCCCACTCCCAACCTGTGGAGTGTACTTTCATTTTCAGTCATCTCTGCTTTCGTCGCTTCATTCTTTCCTTGTTTTGTCCAATTCATTGTTCGCAACACCAAGAACCTGGACACCCTCCAGCAGTAACTCTCTGATCCATTTTACTGTGAAGGAGCTTCCTCATGAGGCTCGGTCAGATTCTTCAGGGAACTCCTAGTCAGATACAAACTCCCACAGAAAACCAAAGGCTAGAATCTGGAACTAATAATTAGATAAGCTCCCAAGACAGTAAAAGTTGAGAACAAAGCAAACCGTTCTCTATGGTTAGGCTGTTCCCCAACGCTGTTCCATCTGTTTCCTTTTATAGATGACGGCACTGAAGTCCAGAGGAGAAAAGGAATGTCATCAAGAACTCTTAACAAGTCCAGGGAAGGAGAATCTGGATCCCCCCACTCCCTGTCCCAACTGCTTTCTGTCATCCCGGTGGGACCGCTTTTAATCCCAGTTCCAAGAGGGGACGGCAAAGCCCATGGTGGACCTGAATCAGAACCCAAGTACAGGTACGAAGGAGACCTGTGTCTGCCTCGCTCTGTTACTGTAGCTCTGATGACGTCAATGATATTCAGAGAATTGCTAACAAGGGCGAGCACACAACTGTAATTGGTGGGAGGGGAGGGTGGTGGTAATTTGAATTCCTTGCTTGGTGGAAAAAACATCAAATGACTTTCCTAATTTTCTGATCAGCACCTCCCTAGGGCTGAGCTGGGCCCCACATAGTTATACCCATCACTTTACTCGAGATTCTAAGGCAATTGAGGACCCACACATAGGACCAGAGAGCTCAAGGCACTTGAAACATGCATTTTCACTTTTCCAGAATAGAGAATCAGAAGCCATCATCTCTCAGAATGCCTCATAAACATTATTGAAATTTTAATTCTTCAATCCCTTTAAAAGATTAAAGGTGGTGTAGTGTCTCCTACCTATAATCCCATGGCACTTTAGGAGGCTGACGTGGGAGGACCGCTTGAGCCCAGGAGTTGGAGACAGGCCTGGGCAACACAGTGAGACCTCATCTGTATAAAAATTAGCTGAGTGTGGTGGCATGCACCTCCCAGCTACCTGGGAGGTTGATGTGGGAGGATCGCTTGAGCCTGGGAGGTGCAGGTTGCCATGAGTGGAGATTGCACCACTGCACTCCAGCCTAGGCGATAGAGCGAGACCCTGTCTCAAAAGTGAATGAATAAGTAAACTTAGAAAAAAAAATAAAAGTAACAACTGAAATACTTGGTTATAGCTGTTATAAGTTGCCCTCTGCCCATAACCCTTAAGTGAAGGACTTGTCCGGGGCCACTGATCTTGGATGACCTGGCAGGGGGAGTGGACACTCCAGGTGTCTTGGTAGGGCCAAGTCCTACCAAGGGTAAAGTCCCGAAGGTGGCAATGGACAGTACAAGAGACTTCTGCCCAGCGCACACACATTGGATCTGTATCTCCTCTGTGGTATGTGCAGCGTTTTATGCGGTAGCCCCAGAGATGTGGGTCCCTGCTTTTATGAAATCGTCCCCTAGAGATTACATGAGTCCTTCAACAAGTGCATCAAATTTCCTTCCATATCCAAAGACTGGCTCTTGGAGGATTCACGTGTGAGGCACTCCCTGGTTTCCTGGGGGAAGCTGCGACTAATGGTATTATTTATTTTCCTCAGGAAAGCCAATAAAAATGAGCCCCAAACCCACCAACTCACCAGACACAAAGCCCCCCACGGGTGGGCCATCAGCGCCAGGGCTTACCTGGGACGTCAATCAATCTCTTGTAGACATTCAGGAAAGCTGCTTCGGCTTCCTTGCTTCTCTTACTCAGTGCATCAATCTGAAGGGGAAGGAGAGAAAGAAAAGAAAAACAGAGCTCAGCATCTGCCAAGAGGTGATTTACAAAGCAGTACGCATCTAGTGAATTCCTGTATCGAGGAGAAGTCTGATTCGTCCGAGTACACGTTTGACAACTGGGCTTCAACCTCTTGAGGAAATCCTTGCAAACACAAGAGGGCCCAGTTCGTGAAGGTAAACGGCGGAGGAGCAGAGATCTGGGAGTACAGAGCTATTCACTATACAGCAGGGAACACTGGGTGGGTCTTTCATAGAGAAGAATGGTCTGGCGTGCCCTTCCTGGTCTTTTTCCTTCTGCAAGCACTGACTAAGGGCTAGCCATGTGCTAGACACTGCTGAGGGTCAGGGGTGGGCAGGAAGAGACAGTTCCTACTCCCAGGAGCTCAGGGTCTAGGAGGGAAACAGGTATGTAATTAACAATTAATTAAATCCTTGGGGACAGGGGAAAGGGAACCTCAGGAAGGAAAGTTGTGACCTTGGAGCAGAGTCTTACAAAGCATTTCACCCAGGTGGATGGGTAAGACATTGCATGTAAACAAAAAACACATTCAAATGCCTGAGGAAAGAATTTCATAACATTCTTTTTTTATTTTTTGGAGACGGGGGTCTCACTCTGTCGCCCAGGCTAGAGGGCACTGGCATGATGTCAGCTCACTGTAACCTCTGCCTCCCAGGTTCAAGAGATAGCTGGAATGTCTGCCTCCTGAGTATCTGGGATTGCAGGTGCCTGCCATGTGTAATCACGCATGGCTAATTTTTGTATTTTTAGTAGAGATGAGGTTTCACAATGTTGGCCAGGCTGGTCTTGAACTCCTGACCTCAGGTAATCCACCTGCCTCAGCCTCCCAAAGTGCTGGGATTACAGGCATGAGCCCCTGTGCCCGGCCTGCATGTTCTCTGTTTTAAGACACTTATTCACATGTCAGCTTGTGCTCCATTCCTGAAGTCCAGATTCAGAGCCCACCAACAAGGCTACAACACACCATGGGGCATGGGGACCTGTGAGAGTCTGCAGGGTGGGAATGCAGATACATATGCGGGAGCTGTGGGTGACACAGCTGGACAAGCAAGTGGGGTTAGATCATGAGGGGCACAAAGGCATGTGGTACTGGGTGACCCTTATCACCTGGGCAGCAGTCAGGGTGGAAGGAACACAGGAGGAGGCAGAGAGGAAGAGACCGCTCAGACGCCATCGCTCTCATCCAAGGGAGATGCTCTGGGCAGTGGCTGCGGGTGTTGAGGAGGAGGCGGAGGTGCTGGAGAGGTCGGCAGCACGCACAGTTGACGTGAGGCCCAGAAGCACAAGGCGAACCGAGGATGGTGCCCAGGATTCCAGATTAGGCAACTGGTGAGGTTTTGCGACGGTGGCCAGGGTTGGTTTGTTTTGTGAACTGACTAGCTGAGCCAGTTTCCTCCACGTGGACGTCTATTCATCAACTATGCCGGACGCACATGCAAAGAGCCTGACATGGTTGGACCAACTTGTTAGAATATTTAGCTTACCTACACACTTGCTGAGACAACAGATCACGCTTTGCAGCCGAAGCACGCAAGACCGCACATGCACCGCTTTCATACTGGCTCAGGCAAAGGACGCCAAATTACATATTCCTTCTGTCCCCTCCTCCAACTATGCTGTCTCCAATGTTATTTTTAAGAGGCAAAGGATGTGGTTTAATTACAGGGCCTCTCACCTGAGCCACCTGGCAGTTTAAGGGCTGAGAGAGGTCCCCTGACTAAGGATGTGGGACGCTCAGGACTGGGGATGAGGGCTAGTGGGAGCTGCGTCTAGAAAAGCAAACGCATAGCAGATGAGGGCAGTGCAAGCATTTCCAGCTTGTAACAAGCTGTGCACCAGGATTCCAATTTGAAGTCCACTGTTTGGAGCTCAGACACATTCCACCACCACCCGCTCTGTGGCCCCCACCTCCACCACAACCCAATAAGATAAGGCTGTGATTCTGGGCCAGGTGTGGTGGCTCACGCATGTAATCCCAGCACTTTGGGAGGCCGAGGCGGATAGATCACAAGGTCAGGAGTTCGAGACCAGCCTGCCAACATGGTGAAACCCCAAGTCTACTAAAAATGCAAAAATTAGCTGGATGTGTGGTGGCATGCGCCTGTGATCCCAGCTACTCAGGAGGCTGAGACAGGAGAACTGCTTGAACCCGGGAGGCGGAGGTTGCAGTGAGCCAACATCACGCCACTGCACTCCAGCCTGGGCAACAGAGTGAGACTCTGTCTCAAAAAAAAAAAAAGAAAAGTTGCATGAAATGCTGACATACCAGCAAACAAGAGAGAGACGCATCATACATTAGAGTGGCCTCGGACTGGGGGTGGGTGGGGAAGAGGGGCTGGTGGATGCCAACTGAAGAGAGTGGGATTTGCTTTTGGGGTGATAAAAACGCTTTACAGCCAGGCACCGTGGCTCACGCCTGTAATCCCAGCACATTGGGAGACGAGGTGGGTGGATCACCTGAGGTCGAGAATTCAAGACCAGCCCGACCAACATGGAGAAACCCTGTCTCTACTAAAAATACAAAATTATCCGGGCATGGTGGCGCATGCCTGTAATCCCAGCTAGTGGGGAGGCTGAGGCAGGAGAATCGCTTGAATTTGGGAGGTGGAGGCTGCAGTAAGTGGAGATCGTACCATTGCACTCCAGCCTGGGGCAACAAGAGCGAAACTCCATCTCAAAAAAAAAGGGCCGGGCATGGTGGTGCATGCCTGTAATCCCTGCACTTTGGGAGGCCGAGGCAGGTGGATCATGAGGTCAGGAGTTCAAGACCCACCTGGCCAACATGGTGAAAGCCCGTCTCTATAAAAAGAAAAAATAAATAAAAAAAAAAAAAAGTTTTACTATGGTCTGTGGTGACAGCTGTACAACTTTGTGAATATCCTAAAAGTCAATGGACTGTAGACTTTAAATGGGTGAATTATATGTTATGTGAATTATATCTCAATCAAGTTGTTTAAAACACGTGTATGCACGTCTTTGAAATCAACCTGTATGTAAGATTGTGTGCCGTGATTTATTTCACTGTCATATCATGTATCTTTCTCAATATCTATTACAAATTTTGGGAAATGTCGAAATGGCATTGTTTCAATTGTACCTAAGCCCACACAGTATTTGGTTATATGTCTCTGGAGTAAGAAATGGATTTGGAGTTACTTCTCCAGATGAATTGGAACACTTTCTGGGGGCTCTTCTAAGAGAGGCAAGTCTGTCCAGAAAGCTGGGCAGACTTAGGATCTGCCCTGGAGGGCCCCTCCCTTCCCAGGGATTCCGGTGACAGGTGGTTGTGTCTCCCACAGGCAAGGGCCGGGATCTGGAAGGACCCTGACCTCTGTCCTCCTGACTCAGTTATTCCCAGGGACGTGGGGTTTGGTAATTCACACGGCACACTTTGGGGCTGTAACGGGTTGAACCGTATCTCCCAAGATATGATGAAGTCCTGACCCCCCAATACCTGTGAAAGTGACCTTATTTGGAGCTAGGGTCTTTGCAAGGTGATCAAGATAAGGAAAAGTCACTAGCGTAGGCCCTCGTCCAACAGGTTCCGATAAGAAGGAGACGCCTGGACACACAGACAGACACGAAGACAGGCGGGATGTCACAGGGAGATGAAGGAGAGACTGGGCTGATGATCCATAAGATGAAGATGATCAGGAAGCCACCAGAATCTGGGACAGGGACATAGCAGATTCTCCCCTACATCCCTCAGAAGGAGCCAGCCCCGTGGACACGAGGATCTTAGACTTCTGCCCTCCCGAAACTCGAGAGAATAAACTTCTGATGTTTAAGCCACTTGGTGAGTGGCACTTGGTTCCAGCAGTGCTGCGAAAGTGATATAGTTGTGGCATGAGTTACTAAGAAATTCTTTTAGGCAGATAAGGAGGAAAAGTTTTCGTTTCTTTTAAAGCTGCTCCAACAGCATTTCTTGTAAAGCCTGGCTCTTAAAGCCCAGTCAACAACCTTGATACGCAAATACCAGCCGATAAAAACTGGGTCCACCCCACATGGCGATTCTGACCACTGTCCCCTTGCTCTTGCCCCTGCATGTCCCTGGCAACGTGGCTGCCCCCACATATATCCACATGTGTATAACATTAGGATGTGCTGCATTTGCATATTAAAAGCCGAGGGTGGGAGCGCCAGTTTTTTGTGTGGGCTACCTAAATAACACCTGGTCAAACCAATCCCCTAAGCCCTATGAAATTCAGACACCGCCTCCTCCGGCCTCTATATATACCTGGCTGCCTTCCAATCCACTTGGGGATCTCCTCTTTCAGATGTGGAGCCCCCCTCCCTCTGTCTGTACGGGGGAGCCTCTGCCTTCTGCCTTCCCTTTCCTTTCTTGCCAATTAAACCCTCAGCTCCTTAAAACCACTCCATCGAGCCAGGCATAGTGGCTCACACCTGTAATCCCATCACGTTGGGAGGCTGAGGCCTGTGGATTACAAGGTCAGAAGTTCAAGACCAGCCTGGCCAACATGGTGAAACCCCATCTCTAGAAAAATATAAAAATTAGCTGGGTTCGTGCCTGTAATCCCAGCTACTTGGGAGGCTAGGGGAATCGCTTCAACCCAGGAGGCAAAGGTTGCAGTGAGCCGAGATCATGCCACTGCCCTCCAGCCTGGCAACAGAGCGAAACTGTCTGTCTCAAAAAGACCAAAAAAAAAACAAAAAAACAAAAAAAAAAACCACTCCACGTGTATCCATGTTGTTTTATGTAAACTGGCATAAAAACCAAAACCCTAGGGTTCCTCCACTCATCAGAGCCGCACCACAGGGACCACGGTTCCCAGTCCTCTCCCCATGCCCTCTTCCACTGACACAGGGAAACTCCAGCCCAGTCCAGAGGAACACAGTCAGGCCAGTGAGTTTAATTATTCACCATGCAAATGGACCATGAGATTTCTGAAAAGGGATGACTTAAAAGATCCTCTTCTCAATGATTAAGTCCCCTCAGCCCCATG